CTTGATAAGAATACACATCAAAAAGCAATTCAAGAATCAGTAATCGTAAAATCAACTCATTTCTTTGAGTTTTTGGTACCCAAAGCAAAGAAAAATCATTAAATCGCTGTATCTGGCCATATCCCTACTTAATGCGCCGTCTCATTGAGTACCAACATACGCCCAATCATATATATATTAAACGTATCATACCGCTGTGATATACAGCTGCGAGAAGCTCGGCTCATCAGTGGGACTCCAGTGTTCCCTGTACGATGTCTCGTATTTAAACTTCAGAGAATAATCAAGTGAAATATTTCAAAAATCATATTCTTTCTGGAAAGGACTCACACCGATCCATTTGCTTCCCGGAACAAGCAAGCTTCGTATGGGTGATAGGGGTCACAAACTGGCAACCACCTACCAGTCTGAAGTCGACCATGCTACGATACGAAGTATATCTGTTTCGGGAAGCCAGGCTGAAGTCGACCATGTTACGATACGAAGTTTATCTGCTTCAGTACATCAAAAGATCGGTGTGGGCCCATTCCTGATTGAATAAATACCCGATCTGCTGCGACAGAGAATGGCAGGTGGTAAAGCACCGACAAATTTCGGTACGATGAAGTGATTATGATCAATATGGTAGACCCCTGTGGTGGACCAGCTGCGTCAAATGTGTCTGTGCGCATGTTTGTGTTTCCGGTCCCAGTTATTGGTCAGGATTATGATTAGCCGAATAAAGGCAAACAAGCCTGAAATATTTTTAAAAAGTTTTTAATTATGAGATTTTTGAAGACCGTGAAATGCCCGTTCATAAAACTTCGTGTCTCTGTATTACTTACGTTGCTTGGAGAGTCTACTGGATCTTCCAAATCTACTGCTAAATTTTATGAACTCACGATGATCTCCCCTTAACAACATAATGAAATAAATAATCTTTCGTACACGAAAATATACAGTTTGTAGTTTGGAAATCCTGAATGTTAGTGTGACGGCAAGCCGGACTGAAAATTATTCAGTAATTGGAAACGTCTTCGTAAAACCGAATTATACACTTCATTTGGGCATAAGATTTAAAGAAGATGTAATTTTCGACAAATGATTAAAATACTAAATATTTTAATACAGGTTTTCTGTGCGATTTATTTGATTTTATAAGAGCATCGAACATCCATGACGAAAATGTATGCTAATTAAGTAGTCATTTTTACGGAGTGTAGTTTCTTTAGGCGGCCGGTAAGAAGTTTGCCGACATCCTTAATTCACTAAAGTATCATGGGTTTATGCTGCACAGTGATTAATCTCACAACCTTACTTAAGTAATTTTTTTCGAGTCAAAAACGGATTTGCAAATTTCGGCTGACGTTTCATGGTTTAGCACATCTTCTGTATGTAAATATGTGTTTGGAGTCAAATACGTCTGTTGGGAAGACAGAACACCTTATTGACTACATTTTCGACGCTGGTTTCCCAGGTCGTTGTCAAACTTAAAGCCAGAGTTTTAAAACAGCTAGCATTTTAAACCTCCCTAAAAATCGATACTTGATCGGTTTTTGCTCCAGTAAGCGGCACCGTGTGCGTCATAATGTGTCCTCCGCTCCTCGTCTCTTCCATTTTTCCTTTACATTTTCGTAAACTGCATCTGACTCAACATGACGGTGGTTGCATGACTCGTCTAAGTGCATGACCACGAGTAACTCCCGATCATATATGTATTATTAACGTGACAAGAAGAAAACCATCTAAAAGATCCCTCGCGATGCCTATGATGCCGTATGTTATGGTCAAACGGAAAAATTTGCCTCTAAACGGATCTTCAAGCATAACTGCCAGTTAATGGCTGAGACCATCTGTCCCAAGTGGCCATGTATACCCTGGATATCGGGCATATCGTCGGCGTCTGCCCTGCAAAAAAGCCGAGAGTTTTTTTCGAATTCATGCACTCAGAGGAGTCAGGCGTCCATCGGCATATTGACTTTGATGTCATGTACGAAAATCTCAAGAAGAGATGAAAGAGGCAATTAGCACTTGACGCATAATGACGAACACGATGGTCGCTTACCTACGCAAACACCGATCAGGTACCGCTATTTTAAAGTGGTCTTAAATGTTTACGATTTTCGCGCATTTGCTCAACCTCCGACAACGACCTGGGAAACCGGATTCGAAAATGTACCCAATAAAGTTTCTTAACTTGTGACTCTGCCTTGAGACAAGTTTGAGCTTAATGATGGAAGAGCGAGTGCGGCAGATGCAGCGCTAGTCTGCCGTAACTATCAAATAATTCCTATTTTTTCTTTATTGCCTCAGCCTTTTTCTACATGTGTGGAAATGTACTAACGGGGCTAGGGCTTCCTCTCTTGCAGTAAATCCGTTTGTTCCCATTTGCTCAATTTTATGATTGAAAGTCGGCTGATGTAGACGCGGTATGAACTGATTGGCTAATGACGTCCGTAAGCATTTATAAAAACCCCAATTTTATGAACCTTCACACGTTGTTGAAGTATACTTGAGACAGAAGTATCATGATGTTGGCGGGGTGTATAATACTATTAGTCATAAAAACCACATACGCCTGCTTTTCAGGCACGCCTACGTTTGCATCTGAGGAAAAGAGTAAGTTGTTGCGTTCCGCTTTGCACATCTTCAATTTCACCGTTTATCTCTTTCACTGGTGACCACAATATTCGATATATTTTGGAGGTTTATTTCTTCGGAACCTCTACCCACATTCCTGAGTACAGAATATTTCACCGACTGAAATCAAACTACGTCGTTGCACTGCACAGTGCACTATAATTTTCATTTAAAATCAATACCAGGCGTGCGTTATGCAGGTGTATTGAGCAGCTTATACACGTGCAGGGACTTTGGTTGAATTGGGTGAAAGAGATTGACGCTTTTAGAAAGTTAGGAATGCACATTTGATAATTTTTATAATGTGAGCGTTTACTTCGGCATCCACCACGGTCCATATATTTTGAGAGATCTGCTATTCCGAACAGGACCTGAACTATGCACATGCAACGGCGATTCTCAAAGCACTCGTGGGTATTCGTCCGATCCGCACATAAGGTCAAGTGGACGAATTCGGACCTCTCAATCCTGATGCCTTTTATGCATGTTTAGCTAAATAATACTTGGTTACAAAGTGAGTAATTGATCTTAGCGTGGCAGCGAACTTATAGTCTACCCAGTCCAGTACCAGTTAGAAGGGCTTTTCTAAAAAATAATGCACAGTTGCTGGGCTAAAGTGAAAAATGCCAAGTAAGTGGACGGCGAATGCGTCCATATTCATTCATAGTCAAATTATTTCGGTAAAATCCACCAAGCCTTCGGATGAACGACTGTGTGTAAAGTCTGTTTATGTTAACCAAAGTATACGAGGCGTTAGAACAGACTTGTCTGCAGTGGTTGAACACAAAACTATATCATTTGGATTCTGCAGTGCATCACAATTCTCATTGAAAGTCAGAACCAGGCGTGAGAATGGAAAGTTGGAAGGCTAAAACAGTTGCAGCAGATTCGGCCGGATTTGGTGACATGGGTTTGTTGCTTGCGAAAATTTCGAACAGGTTTTCTAAAAATTGTAGGGATAGATACGGACAGCGACAAGGGAATCTCTGGCGGCCGTTTCCGGCGAGGTAATCGTCGTCAACCAACCATGTCTCAAGGGTAGGGGCGCTCACCGATCTTTGTTACGGAACTCGCCTGTTCCGTTGTGCCTTACGGGCTCGAGTGAGTTCCGTAAGAACGATCGGTGAGCGCCCCCTTCCACTGTATACTCCCGATCGAAACCGACAGGGCAACGGGCTCGTGCCCCAGTGGTTAGAGGCGTGGACTTCTAACTAACAGGTCGCTAATTTGAGACTCGGATGTTCCGCACTTCGGAGTTGCGTATTACTGGCTGACGCCGGTTAATAAGCCACAAATGGCCATTCTTGTCTCCCTTGTCTTTGCCGGTAGCAACATACAACCATGTCTCTGCCCATAGTTAGGATAGTCCAGGTTTCGACACGGACCCTTCGGTCTTTGAACGTTGATCCAGTGCTCTACAAACAGGCCAGACGTCTCTTGTTTGTCAGTTGAGGTCGAAAGTACTTGATAGTGCGAAAGAGCCAATCACAGATCTAATCCCAGTGTTTGCGCGTTATGTTGCGCATTGGAGGCCAACACTAGAATCCCGTTAGTAGTTAGATGGCGACCATAATGGGGTATGACGGGTTGACATAACAAGCCATACGTGACCATCTCAGCACGGGGACTAGATTGGGTTTCCGCAGATGATATTGAAAATGCACATGAAAAACTATTGTAAACATTGGGGATTTAGTGGCACGCCCTCGTACAGACCCACGTCGCGACAGTGGAGATCCCAGTCGACACCGATTTTCTCGTTGTGTTAAATTCTGGTCAGTGTACGTTATGGATCAGGGGTAGGGTGGTACACCTAGGTGCGGGTTTTCGCTGTACCAGCTACCTGCGCCCTCTCCCGCCCCCGGTCTAAAGGGCTATGTCTTGACACCGGGCTCTGGTTGGGGAAGGAGGAGAGTGTGCGGTAGCTGCTGCACAAGTCTACTATCACTGCAAGCAAATTCATGGGCAAATCGCCGTCCCCTGCTGTCGCCCTGCCGTGGAGCACATGGGGAGCATCGACGGCGACGACCGTTGAATTGCCACTGTTACCGCTTGCTGCGTAAATGCTTACTTGGTCTCTAGTTATAGCTTCAAGACAAAACAGGGCAAGCAGTTTCTAAACTGTAATCATTTAGATGGACGATTCTACTACGTTAGCCCGTATCAAGTTGGGTAGCCTTTTTAAACCGACAAAAAACTAGCGTCGTAAACGTACATCCTTCCCTTAAAGTCAGCAGCTGCCGTTTACGAACATATTGTGTATTTCAGACACTGGACCGACGGCACCTTGGCATATCGAACAGAAGGAAGAAGTAGAAGAACCTGTAGGGACATTTCTTGAGCGCAGTATTTCTGCTCTGAACCAGTCACTGCGTTCCGTGATGAGAAATGAGGTATCATATTCCATTGTCACCAGTCTCGGCGGTGTTGTCGCCAAGGGAACCTGTGAAATTGTGCTACTCAATAACGAAGAATACTATGCCTGTACAGATCTTCGACTACCTCTCAATTTCGAAATACTCTATGTAGGTTAAACTATCATCTCATGCAATGCGTCTGCTGAAAGTAGACTACTTTACAAACGTCAGGACTAAACTCTCATGTGTTTCTGTTTTGTCAACTTTAGGTACCCAGCACTAACCCCTTTGTCATGTCGATAAGGACAAAACATGTTGCCGACCTGGTGGCAAACATTGCTGGACGAATTAACACCGACCCTGCGCAACCCACGTGCGCTATCACTGTGCTGTCTTTAAACAGTCTCGTCGACGAGAGGTCCGAATCCATCTCCTTACCCTTCGATTATATCTCCATGAATAACATAAGGAGGACCATTAACACAACAATTGCGAATCTGATGAGGAGTATTCCTCTTACATGCTAGCACTGTCATTCTAGTGGACGAATACAGATGTGCACTATCCTTTTTCTTGTCTCTTCCTAGTTTTTTTTTCAGTAGGGTGCTTCCAACTGCGAATACTTAGGCGACACACCATAGTATTAAATGCATTCCGCGTCGGAATGCAGACGTTTAGTCTGTCAAAAAGTCTTGTGGATTGCAGCGTGAACGTTAGAAAGAGCGAACAACCTCTTTGCTTCATGAGACCAGTCAAAGACAGCCGAGACATTGTTGCGCCGTTCAGTCAACTGGCAGAATGAATTAGGATAACTTGCGCTTAAGTATGGCAGGTGAACGACCATTACTAAACCGTAAATGAGCATAGAGGAAGCATCCACCTTTGACGACAGTCCGTCCGCAAGATGGAGGTAAGAGCAACGGCAACGACTAGTCGGGCAAATGTATCGACAGAGCGAGAACCCTGTCTGCGTTCCCGTATACGCATATCACACCGACACAGCGACTAGGGAAAGGTTATTTAAAGAGAAATCGGTTTGGTCTCACGCATTTTTCGACTTGATGACACTAACACGCTCCTAGACGAAATGAACAAGGTTAAACTGATATTCCCAAAAAACAGCGTTTGGGGTCATAGAGGTAGCGTAAACTGACGACTCGTGTATAGGCCGAGCCACAGTGGGTTTCGGGGGGAGAGAGGGATGACGGAATTCTAATGGTTGTTCACTGACCTGAAGGTGAAAGGGGATGGTGGACCAGTCATAGCGTGGACGATTAAATTAGCCGACGTTAATTTAGGATAAGGGATGGAGGTCAATAAGCTGCGAACGCGGACCGTCCTGTTGGGTGCCTAGTTCAGCAGGGCGATTGATATTGTGGCATTGGGGGGAGTACCAAGCCTTATGACAGTCCGTCCGTGAGATAGACGAAAGGGCAACTGTGACCATCTGTCGGGCAAACGTATCGACAGTTCGAAAACCCCGTCTGCGCTCCCATATGTGCATATCAAACCGAGATGGCAAATGGAGAAAGGTTATTTAGAAAGAAATGGCTTTGGCCCCACGAATTTTCCAAACTAATGACGCCAACACGCTCCGAGACGAAATGAACAAAGCGAAAGTGGGATTATCACAAAAGAGCATTTGGATAACAGGGGTCGCAGAAACAGACGACTTGTGTGTCAGCCGAACTGCGATGGGTTTCGGGAAGAGAGGTAGGACGGAAGTATGCTGGCTACTCCCTATCCTGGAGGAGGAGGAGGAGGAGGAGGAGAAGGAGGAGGAATTGAAGAGTAGGAGGGGAGGAAGAGGATACCAAAGCACTCAGAATGTGGGCGGCTAAGCAAAAGGTCGCAGATTTAGGTTTGGGACGGAGGTCAGCTAGCCGTGGTTACAGATCCTCGTAGTAGGCGTCTAGGTCATCTTAGCGATTGATCTTGCCACACTGAGGTACGAATTCTCCAAAAACTCTTTCGCGTGTTTCGTGTTGGCAATGCCACAATATTAGCATGTCACACTCGGGTGCGCGCGCCGGGACGAGAGGTAGAGGACCATGCCGACGGACGGCTGGTTTGCTCCGCTAGTCGAACCAGGGTTTTGTCCTTGACAATGCAGTATGATTGGCAGAACCAGTGGGAAGAAAGCCAGCCCTGTACTCGAAAATTGGTTCCCACATTGGACCATAAAACGGGCCATCGACCTGCACACCGCTTACCAGGCGCTTCGCACAGGGCTCGGATCAGTTTGGGCAGACCCAATTGGGCAGGCAAGTCTGCCGACTGACAATAGGGAGGTCGGTAGGCGGGCTGATTTGGCTACAATTTCGGTGGACACAAAAGGAGCAAAGGTCACGCGAGCCTTCAACACGTCAACCTCGAAGAGGTCAAAGCTAGTCAGTAACAAACGGGCAGGTCCACGTTCGTGCGTCGGACTGCAAGGCTAAATAGACCAAGCCCCCGCTAGAAGGCCAGCTATGGGTGACCTCATTAGGACCCCATTTATTTGTTGATTAAGCATTGCTGTTTAAACGATAACAGTTGGTTTCCAGCCAAAGGTCTACTAGCTCAAGTATGGCAGTGGCAGCAAATCCAAAGGAATATAATTTGATGGCATCAGGTGATTTGGGAAAGTAAGAACTTTATTAGTATACTTCCGACGATGGTTCTCCGGGTCGTCGTCAGACCTGGATAAATGAACAACCAACGGTCAACATTTCATACATGCCCACAAATCCATACTTCCCCGGCGTTTCTGCCTGCAATAGTCCGCCGCATACGCGATTGTTCATCGATCGGTTCCTGTATTTTCAATTGTGTCCTGATATTTTTGTACATGGTGTCTAACGTAATATGTCGATTTATGTATGACTCATCTGAGTGCATGACTTCAGGAAATTCTCAGTCGTTTTTAGTATGGCAGACGCCGACGATGTGAGCCTTGTCTCATGCAAAAGTAGTGTATGCATGACCATTTGTGATAGGTGCCATCGCCTCATAACTGCCAGCTGATGTTAGTAGATGCGTGTTGAGGTAGACTTTCTAGTTTGGCCACAATATACGGAATTGTATGATTTACATGGGATCTAACAGGCAATTTCGTTCATATTCAGATATCCAGCCCTATCTTATAAGCTGACTGCTTAGCGTACTTGCCGGTTTGTTCGCCACTTGTATTTGGTGTTTTCTCAGGTGTCTTTCAATGAGTCCAGGCACATTTTTAATTTGGGTGGAGTGGGGTGTTCGCCGATTATTTGCTTCCGATGCCCGCTTGGACATATCTAGTTTCTTCTCTTTTAACTATTGTTTTTAAATGCGTCACATATAAACTTTCTAAGTTAGCCATATCCGAAAAGTAATTCAAACATATAAGTTAAATCTGTTCTGTTACTTTCTTCGTCGGAACAGTGCGTTTTTGCTTGATGGAACTAGCTATTGAAATTGCTTCCTCTCTTCCCATATAACCTCCAAACAATGCAGTTACATTAGAAAATAATAAAGAAGCATTTCGTTCCTCATCTATTTATTCGACTGACAACAGGTCGCATGTTAGAGGAATGGTCCCTTCTAGGTGTGCAATTGCTGAATTAAACATGTCGTTACTTTGCCCTTTGGATATATAGCCGAACGGTAGGTGAATGTCCTTCAGGTTCTGCTTGATGATTTTTTTGACGAACAGGGCGTTAATTGTGCACATTGGTGGCATATCCTTCATGTTTACCTGTCCAGAAATATCCATCAGTAGGTCAACAACGTGTTTGTTTATTGTCGGCGTGATATTCGTGTCAAGGCTGGCCACCTGCGTTTAACAAAGTGGAAATAAGTGTTAGTTCATTTCTGGCACTTTCAATAGATGCGCATTTAGGGGACTCATTACCGTGTTAACTCACATAACTAATATAGAAGTGGAATGACATTCGGACATCTGTACAGTTGAAGTTTTTTTCTTCATGAATCTTGATCACTTTACAGCTTCCTGCGGAGGAAATACGACCTAGGCTCACTAACAGGCAAAAGCCGTTTTCCCTTTTAGCAGATGAACGCAGAGACTTGTTTAGAGCAGACATTATATGTGCCAGAAATGTCGCCAAACTTCCATGCTTCTGCTCGTAAGGATCGTTTTGTAGTTGCAAATCATTATCTCGTGCTGTTTGTCCCGTTTCTGCAATACACGGAATTCGTATGAGCAGTAATTCATGGGAAAGACAAACAAAACAATCTTATTTCACCTATTGCTGTGTTAATTCATAAGGCTCCTCAAGCGCATTGTTTGCCGTTGGTCGTACTAGGAGTTAGCTTGGTGGGAAAAGTTCGCCGACTTAACTAAATCCTGAGTCCACCTAGACATCAGCATAACGATCATTATAAGGTAGATAGACTGGGAAAATTAAGGTCATCAGGGTTATGATGCAGTGCGATCACCAACGAGGTTCTGCAACGGGGCTCGAAAATCAAAGGAGATGAACAAGATGTTGCTCTATAACTTCGTCCTTACCAAGCGACATGACATTTGCGATCGCAACCGTCCAAAAGCAGAGCCGTAACTGCATGATAGGGCATAATTCAGGCTAAAAACCAAAGAGTTGAGATCAGAATCGCGGGTTATCCAAAATTTGAATTGGGATTTGCCTGTCTAATAAAGATTAATAGGTCCTTGCATTTGTCTGGTAATCGGGGCTTTATCGTAGGATAATGCGGAACCCTCTCGAAATATTATTCCTCATGAAGTATTTGAAGAATGTTGCGGGCTAACAAAAAATCCATATCGGCATCATTACCTTCGACCTGATTTCTCCGCAAAACCCACTCCACTCGAAGTCATATCTGTTTCCGGGTTCAAAGGTGAATTCTACGGTATTGTTTGATGTACTTACGAGATTTTAAGTCTGCTTCCTAAAATTTTAAATGACTAACCCTTCCCCTATTTGTCAAAAGCTTTTCAAAGACTGATGACGGAGGATTTTGTCATAAGGTAGGATTTTTGGGATATTTATAGTTGAAGCGAATGTTCGAGTATTTACGAGTAAGCAAGAACAGAACTAATCGAAGAATCGGAAGCAATATCTCGTTTTTTCGAAATTTTGAAGCTGTACGGGAGTTCATCGTCAGAGGGAACGCCATCATCTGAAGTAAGGGATAGTCATAGGGAAGTATAAGCCAATCGGAGGCCAATTGTGCAGGTCTGGAGATGACTACACAGGGCTCTCCACGTCGACGCCACAGGGACACACCGATTGACTGAGTTCTCATCCGAGGCCCATACCTCTATGATTTCTCAGCTTGTTTCGCGTCAGGCGTGGGCAAGTATCTTGGTGGCTGCAACATTAAGCGGATGGGCCCCTTCGAGATTTTAGACAGTAACTTGCAAGTATTTGCCACTCCGTCGCCCATCCAACTTATGTTACTGCATGTGAGATCCGAGCATGCTTTCGCCTTGACCCGTGTAGTTACAAGGAACGTTTATGCACAGAATTTGATAAACCACCCTGGACTTCTCTTTGATGCTTAATCTATCCTTAGTCTTCATTATCCC